TGTCAGGGATGTGTGAGGCGCACACAACCTCCAGGCATTTCAGTCACGTCTGTGCCAATGTGTTTTCTTTTTAGCCAGGAAGACCAACAAACAGGTGTTTGTCAGCTATAACCTTCAAAACACAGACAGTAACTTCGCATTACTGGTAGAAAACAGGATCAAGGAAGAAATGGAGGCTTTTCCGGAAAAGTTCTAGCAGAGTGGCAGGAGTGAGGATTTGTAACTTATGTACAATGTACATTGAAATAAATGGATTGAATTTCACTGTTTGTCATTAGGTTAATGTGTTTACGTTTTGTTTTCAAATCTTCATCTAACTTTCCTTCTTCCGCTCACCAGAGTGTGGGCCAAAAAGCTGCAATCGATCTGCCTGGGGAAGAAGAGCCAAATGGCAGGCAAGAGTGCGTGTGTGGCCACTCAGGAATAGGGAACAGGGGTTAAAATGGGATATTGTTGGGACTGCAGAGGGCTAACCTGATAATCTAGGAAAGAGGTACATTAGTCATGACCCTGCCGTGTACACTCATTAGAATTAAGGTAGTAAGTCTTTATAAAATACATGTCAGGTTAGCTCCTTCCCGTCCCCTTCCGGGCAAGCCCTTCCCCGGCACGGCTGCTCACCGCAGTTCCTGCTGTGTTCTCCCTTGGACTGGCTCACTGGATTTCTGGACTTGGTGAATCTCTAACTCCCCTGGGCCCTGTTTCCTCATCTGTAAATTGGGAATAAGCTCTCCCTTGCTGGGTTATCGTTAGGACTAGATATATATGCATGCTTCGCATGATCGAGTAAGGGGCATGGCAATTCAGATGTCAGTTGTGCTATTTATCTACTTCATTGTTATGGATCCAAATGCTTTAGCTCCTCCTGGCTCTTCTTGCTATCATTGTCCTTCTTTTCTCCAAAGTCCCAAGCACCTGCTTTGGTTACCTTTAATCCTTAGCCTTTTCCTGCCCGCCACATGTAGTGGATTCCAGTCTCACTAGTTCCACATGCTACACATTTTCTTTCACACCCTTTTCCAAAAGCCAGTATGTCGTGGGCTAGTGGCTCCTAACTCTGGCTTCACATTCGAATCCCTGGGGGTGGCCTTCACAGATTGCCTGTGCCTGGCCCTTCCCCAGAGACTCAGAGGGCCTGGGGCCCAGGCTTTGGCAGATCTGAAAAGCTCCCCACGTGTTGCTCAGTACAGGCGAGGTTGAGGACCACTGGCAAAGAACTTCCTAATCTTCAAGGTCCATCTGGACCCCTTTTGTTGCTGGAGGCGGATTGTTTAGGGCCCTGTAATGGGGTCCATGCAGTGGCAAAAGTCTCGTATTGAGCCCGTGGTTAGGCAGCCAGGGGTGGTTACACTCTGGCCAAGACATAAAGGCACTTGAGAAGAGCAGGTCTGGGGTTCCAGAAGCTTGCCTCCTTTGCAGATTTCCTGTGCTAACCTCCGAGGCCGCGGCCACCACAATTGTAGCTTGGAAGCACAGTGGGCACCTCTCTAAGAAGAGTAAGTAACACACAATCAGGGCTATGGAGAGAAGAGTTTGGTATAAATACTTTATTAAAGAAATAGTGTTTTCTTGTTAAAAAATACTACATTAAAGAAGAGTTTTGGGTTATCAGAACTTCCTCTCAGAATCACAGTGTAAGAGAGTCCTTTCTTGACCTCTCTAGGAACCGTCAGGCCATGGGTTAGCAGGACGTCAATACACACAAGAAAAGAACTCTTCAGTTTGCTGATGGCCCCCGCTTCTCAGGTGGTCTGAGAACATCACCAAGGGAACAGTTTGCATGCAATCCAATCTCTGCCTCTACTTGCCTTTAAGACTGGGACCCTGCAAGCGAGGTGAGAGGCCACCTGCTGTCCCCTCAGGGTGAGAGCCAAGACTCGGTTTACAGAGGCGCTAAAGTAGGGACAGTGAGAGCTGCATAAACAGGTAGAGTTTTTATTACTTGTAGTCAATGGTCATGAAATGCCCTTCATTGGATACCATCAGATGAGGTAGGGAAGACATTCCAGTGGAAATTTGTTAATGGGGCAACATTTTTTATTTCTGTACATTTACATACAAATTTTCCCCAAAGGTACAACAGATGTGACATCATGCAGACGTTTAGCTTTGAACGACAGTTCAGAACTCGATTTAGGCTTGTGCTATGAATGAGCACCTCCAGAGTAATCCCGGTCGACATGTACAGTAACACGGTTCTTACATAGAAACCTCAAATGTGTGGGGGTTGCAGAAAGGACAGAGGGAGGGAAGTATTCCCCACTAGACATAACACACTGTACTGCTTTTCCAAAACACACAATACATTAAAGTGAGGTGTTCTTTAAAAGAGTTGAAGTGTGGGCTCCCCCAGCACATGTGTGTGCCCGCGGGCCCCCAGGGGCGGGCGATGCGATGGTCACATGGGTCACTTAATGGCACTTCAGTCATTTCTTGTTTGGCTCTAGGAAGTGGTAATGTTTGAGTGCAATTACTTCCTTTATGAGGTTTAGTTTTGCTCTCTTTCTGTTGTGTGGCCAAACCAACCTACCAGCCCCCTTCCCCTGGTTGCAAGGGATTCTACTCTTTTAGAAGACAAAGCATTTAAAACTGTTTCCTATTTGTCTGGGGCGCTACCGTTTAGGGGATGTGGTGTTACTGTTGACTTCTGGAGAAAAACAAAATGAAGAAATATCCAGCCCTGTCTCAGGTGTTCACATTTGTGCATAACTTTTATTGGAAGGGGATCACAGCTCCCTGATAGGCTAGCAGGATGCAGGAGTGGGCGGCGGAGGAAGCTGGAGCTGGGGATGTCTCCCGCGGCAGCAGGGGGTGGGGTGGAGGCGGTGGGGAAGGCAGACTTGAAGTAGCAGGTGCCTGAGAAGTGTTCCCTCACTAAGCACGGAGGCAGCAGGACCGAGGAGTCCACGCACCGCTGACCCCGAGCCAGGGGGGCCCACAGCCCCCTCCTGCGCAGACGGCCCCTCTTGCCTTGCTCGCAAGGTACGGGATGTCCATGAGCTCAGCCCGCACGGAAGCTTTCCTGCTTCGTCCTGATCTCATAAAGGCGTTCCTTAAGAGCTTCCGGTGTCCCGGAGCCCAACCAGCAAGAGAGCAGCTCAGCCTAACCCCGCGGCTGCCACCAGAGAAGAGCTGTGGGACCTCTTTGCCGGGACATCACGGATTGTTGGCAAGTCAGCCGTGTTCACATCTGCTAGACTTTGGTCCCCATAGCCAGCTTCTCTTCTAGTCCAGATCACTGAAGTGACAGTGCTGACTGCTGTCTCCACTGGACTGGTCTTCACATTTGTCCCGTCACATGGAGATCAGAGACTGAGGAACAGGACCTTGTCTGTGCCATGCCTCGCTTCTGCCCTCCTGGCTAGAGATTAGCGGTGGCTCGCGCCAGCTTCAGGACGGTTCTCACAGAAGCTCCACGAAGGTCCATGCAGCCAGCGAGGGAAGGAAGACAGCAAGCGGGCCGTCCTGGCGCCGGGATGAGGGACGCAGACAGACACCCGGGCGGGTGCGGCCTCGGGGCCCTCGCCGGCTCCTTCCCAAGTGTCCCCCCCCCCCCCCCGGTGGCCCGGCCGCTGCGCAGGTCCTGTCCTGGGCTGACTGGGTCCTGCCGCCCGGGGGCTTTGTAGTAAGTACTCTAAAAAAGGCAAAGTTTGGCACGTGAAGGCTGCAGAGATGGAAAGAAAGATCTCAGATTGAGGGGAATGCAGACTAACATTGAAACGTGGAACAAAGTGACTTAAAAGCAATGAAGGGAGGTGTGGGTGAGCTGGGCTTGGAGCGGGTGGTGCTGGGGAGGGCCCGCCGGGCATCTTCCGTCCCGGGCATTGGTGAGGAGACGGTGCGGTTTACTCCCTGCGAGTTGGCTCACCTCACAGTGTTTGTAGCAAGCCAGCGGGCTCGTACTGGGGTCTGACGGTTTTGGGGGAGGGTGGTGGGTGGACTGAGAACAGACCGGGTGGAAAGCTGGACGGGGATGAAAGGGAAGTTACGTCAACCTCTTTTCTGGCCCTTTTGAGTTCTAGCCGCTGTCCAATGGAAGTCCCCTAATTGCTTCACGGACTCGAGACCACAAGCTCCCTGGAAGAACACGGCTCACAGCAAAGACATGTGTCACAAAGTGCGGAGGTGGACAATTCTAGAAAGAAACCAGGCTGTCCAAAAAACCGGGTGCCTGTGTTGCTACAAGACCGCGCCTGCCTGCGCCGACGAAGCTTGTTTGTTCGTGGCCCCCTGGGTGGCCTTGCGGAGGCCCTCCAAGTGACGCGCCTCTCAGACAGGCGCAGGAAGCCCGACCTGGAAAGGCAGGAGGAAGCCTTCACTGTCGGGGACGCAGTGAGGAGCACGATGAAAACCCTTGGCTATCGGGGGCGGGGTGGGTGTTGAACTTTGGTGAGTTATTGCTTTCTCTCAACTGGTCTTGATGCTTGAAGAGGCCGGAGGTCAGGTGGACTCAGCTGTGAGAGTCCCACTGCTCGCCCTGAGCCCCGCTCTGTGCTGACAGAAGCGACAGGAAGCAGGAAGCAGGCCAAGGCAGGGCTGTGTGGGGGAGTGGCTCCCACAGGCTTTGCAGCGTCTCAGCATGAAGTCAGTGAGAGCTGACAGTCATCCAGGCTGGTGATTTCTATGCGGCGTGTGCTCGAGATGTGGGTGACGGGCCACGTCCGGGAGAGCACCCCTCGCTCCTGTGGGTTTGCCTCAGTGGTCTGCGTCAGTTAGTGTCCTATTGGTTTTCAGTTCAGAAAGTAGCCTCATGTTCAGGCTGTGCTGGCGAGGAAGCCGAGTGTGACAGAGGGGACTTTCTTGCTGGAGCTAAACCTGGGAAGGAGCATTACTGACGTTACTGTGCCTCACCTCTCCACACCCTTGCTCGTCATGAGCTCGGCCAGGCGAACCAATGTCGGCAGACCGTGGCCTTAGTACCACCCGTTACTTAGGATTTCTGGTGAAATGTGTACACTTTGCCCCAAGGAGCTTCCAGCATCAAGTACAAAAGGATGATCTCGAAGGAAAGACTAAGCTGGTTTTAATGATATTTGGGAGCTGCTTTCCCCCAACGCATGGAACAGAAGCTCTTACCTCACAAACACACACACACACAAAAACCCTTTAGAAACCATACACAGACTCTCTAGCAAAAACCTAATCGTTTACATTTCACTCTGTCTACAATGCGGTCATGGAGACACTCCACGACAGGTCAGTCTGTCCACACACAGGCAGGCGGCCTTGGGGGGCGCGGGCCCAGAGGGAGGGGCCCCTGGCTCCAGTGCGGGGTGCTGGATGAGGGTGGTGTGTGACCTCCAGGGCCGCTGCGCTGGCTACTTACGGCGTCCTCCTCGGCAACCGTGTCCCTCTTCCGAAGGAGGTGGTTCTGTTTCGAGATCAGTTAGAGGAAAGGGAATAAAGTGCTTCTCGTAAAAATGACCAAAATAAATACAAACATTTCATGGCAGAAAAGAAAGTCTGAAGGGTTATTTTCAAAGAGTTTGCTTCCTCACACACACGATCCTTAGAGTTTTGGAAAGACAGAATTTCCCCACACCAGTTGACAGTCTTGCGATCCGTGGCATCAGCAGCAGAATTGGGTTTTCCTGCCCCCCCCCCTCAGCCACGTGTTCGGTCCCTGGTCTGTAAACCTGTGCCCAAACAGCCCCCAAGCCCCTGGAGCCCACAGTGCCCCCTTCAGGGAAGGCCGTGCCCAGAGCTACATGGACTTCATGCCGTTGGCTGTGGCGTTCTCGGGCAGCCCGTCCCCTGCGGTGGCCGCGTCGTGGAGGCCGGAGTAGTCCTTGAGCTCGGCGTTGGTGAGCAAGAGGGGCTGCTCCCCCTTCTTATGCGGCAGGAGCGGCTGCCGAGTGTAGTGCTCCCCGTTAGAGATGTTCTCGGGCAGGTTCTGGTTCCTGCTCTCAGGCAGCAGGAGGATGCAGATGATGCAGATGAGCGTGCAGCAGGCAAAAATGATGTGGTGCAGGAAGTAGCCTTTCTGGTTGTGCAGATCGATGATGGGCGCTGTCAGCATGCCGAAGCCCGCGCTAGCCAGCACCAGCCCCAGCCCGCCGCACCTACGGGAGAGCACGAGCACACATGGTTAACGTCCACGGTCAGAGCCCGCTGCGGAGGGGCACGGCGCCGCCCAGAGTGGGGACACACAGGAGCAGGATCACGGGGCCGACCAGGGCCTGGCTTGGGCAGGGGGCCACCAGCCCAGTGCATCCCGCCTGTTGGATATCCCAGACCACCTTCGCCTTGGCTATCTTTGTACCACCTCTAATTAATATTTTCTCTTGCCAGCTCAAAATTTTTTACTTTATTTTGAAAGGCAATGTTACAATACTACTGTAAATGGAAAAGCACTCGCCATAATAATATGCAACGCCAAAGTATTATTAAATTATGCTACTTCCCAAGGTTTGCTCTTCATTTAGAAAGAGGTCAGTGGGCGGGCGGGAGGTGGATTAACAGGGGTTAAAGAGGATATGACAGACAAACCAGCACTCACAGAGAGTTTCTCCAGCCAGAACTAGAGAGACTGGAAGATACTTTAAAAGACAGTAATTTTTCTCACTGTGAGTTCTTATTTATTGTTGTGTCCCATCTGTTTCCTAAAATCAATCTGCACACCACCAGTGGGAGCGGTCCCGCCTCTGCGAGGTGCTGTGCCAGAAGCCACGTGCTGTCTGAGAGAAAGTCACAGAGCACTGAGCTCAGAAAGTACTAAATGTGAGCCCAGGGGATGTGCCACTTATCTCCACTCCTCTGCCACTTGGGGGAACCTGCCAAAGTTCCAAAGAGATTAGAAGATCGGCAACATTTAAAAAAATCCATCATGGCTCGAACATCTGTCCTTGGACATGAAAGCATATTTGGCGGGGAGAAGGGGTCATGTGGCCTCTGAGGAAGCAGTGCAGTGCTGGGCTGCAGTAAAGGGGACCACGCTGTTCACGTGACCTCCTGTCCCGCCGGTCCCACTGTGTCATGCAACGCACAGGCCAGGGAGGGCTGGCTGGTGTCTGCTCTGGAGCCCCAGTGGAGGAGCAGTCTGGTCACAGTCTGGTCTCAAGGAAGGGGGAGTAGAGTTGTCTGCTTCGCATCAGAGTGTGGATCCAGACCGGTGGGCAGAGGGTATGGGGATGTGGATCTCAGCTGGTTTAAAGAAGAACTTTCATTGGAGTTGCTGAAGAGCTATGCATCACCCTTTAGTGAAGTGATCTTAGTTCTCGGATGCATGTAGGCAGAAGGCTCCTGCAGCAGGCTCTCGAGGAGCCTCTGGTTCTCTTGGTTGGCATTATAGGTGGCTCTAACTCATCAAACGACTGACCTACGAGGGCACGAGACGCAAGGTCAACGTACAAAAGTCAACTGTGTGGCTACACGCTAGCAACAAAGAAGCTGAAAATGAAATTAAAAAAATTCTATTTGTAGTAACATCAAAAGAACAAAATGCTTAGAAATAAAAAAAAAAGTGCAAGACTTGGGGGGCACCTGGGTGGCTCAGTCGGCTAAGTGTCTGACTCTTGATTTTGGCTCAGGTCGTGATCTCAGGGTCATGGGATCAAGCCCCGCATCGGGCTCCCTGCTCCGCGGGGAGTCTGCCTCTCCCTCTGCTGCTCCCCCTGCTTGTGCTCTGTCTCTCTCTCTCTAATAAAAAAATAAAATCTTAAAAAAAAAAACAAAACAAAGGCAGAGAGTGACAAGTGTTTGTGAGGCTGCGCAGAGAACGGGACCCGCAACCTCTGCCGCTGGGAAGGAAAAGTGGGGCAACGGCCATGGAAATCCTATCAGTTTCTGAAACAGTTAAATGTAAACTTTTTATGTGACCCAGCAACTCCATTCTCATGAGACACAGGAAACCTATACCCCACAAAAACTAGAAGCGAATGTTCGCTGCAGCATTATTCAAAACAGCCCAAAATCAGAAAAAATCCCGACGTCCATCACCTGGTGATGGATAAACAAACCGTGGCACATCCGTTACAACGGAACAGTGCTCCACAGTAAGGAGTTCCGTGCTGACACCTGCCATAGCGAGGACGAATTTCAAAAATATTACACTAAGTGACTGTAGACTCCATTTATATGAAATTTTGAAAAAGCGGCAGGGGGCGGAGCAGAGACAAGCAGATTAGTGATTGCCTGGGGCTTTGAGTGGGGACAGGGACGGACTGCAAAGGGCCAGCAGGGAACTTTCTGAGGTGATGGAAATGTTCGACACCTCGATTTATGGGGACGATTTCACTAAAGATCATTGAATTGTGTATTTAAAATGGATGCATTATATGGTATGTAAATTACACCGCAGGAAAGCTTTAAAAGACAAAACCAAACCCAAAACTGTTCCAGCTGTGGGAACTGGGGCCTCCTGCTAACACAAACCCCAAAGCTTCGAGTGTGGGTGGCCAGCCAGGCCTCCCCTCTGTCCCCCCTGCTGCTCAGGCTGGGGCGGCGGGTCCCGCTCTGCTTTGCCCACCGTGTGGCTCGGCAGCCGGTTCCCTCTCCCTGGCGCCTTCCCAGGGCCTTGCTGTCAACAGTGAACCGAGAGTCCCTGCTGTCTACAGTAGGCCCTCTGGCTGGCCAGTCCTGGGTCCACACGAGTGACAGGAACGAGGGGGACTCGGCATCTTGGGGCCCCCCAGGTCAACAGCTGTCCCTAAGGGCCACCGTAAAGTGGACATATCAGAGTTTGGTGGTCAAGACAGGGAGGAGCATTCTCAAAGAATGGAACAGAAGAATGACAATCGTGTGTGCGTGGGTGAGACATTGGGGGGGGGTCTCTCTTCCTCATTTGTCACGTTTCATAACAACAACAAAAGACACGGCTCTCTTCCCTTCTCTCAGCCCCAAATGAGAAAAGGCCTTGTATCTCTGCACATGGGAGGGGGCTCCTCACACCCCTCGTGCTGGGTGGGGAGGCGTGGGGCCCACTGTCCTCTGGACAAAGCCAGAGCCCGGGAGCGGCCAGACTTCTCCCTGTCCCAGCCTCCTCTGTCCAACCCGGGACTAGGCCCCATGGCTTCCAGTTTGGGCCCGTCTGGGTCACACTCCCCTAACCAGCCCGTTTTGGGTCCTCCCACTCCCTGGGGCTCTTTCCTCACCGCTGACAAAGTGACTCTTCTAGAGTGTGGAGTGGCTCATGCCACTCCCTTTCTCAGAGTCGGCCGAGGGCTCCCTCCGGCCTCTGGCCGCGCCTTGGCCCCACACCTGCCTGACCTGCAGCCCTGGTGCCCGAGCTCCCTGGCTCTCTCCCTCACTCCCTCTGTGAGGAGGCCCTGGCCACTCTGCTCAGCTCAGCTCTGCCAGATCTCTGGCGGCAGCGGTCTCCCGCTGCTGAGGAGGCTCTTCGAGGCCGTCCCCAGGCCTGGCCCGGAGCCTCATGGAGGTCAAAGGTGGTGGCGGCCGCCGCCCGGCCCAGCAGGCCCACACCACAGGCCCGGCCGGAGCAGATCGCTAAAATGGCCCTGATGATTCCCACCTCCACGCATTCATACCCTTGTATCTTGAGTGTGAGCTGGACTTAGTAATTCACTTTTCACCAACAAAATATGGTAAAGGTAAGGAAATGTCCCTTCCGTGATTAGGTTACGAAAGACTGACTTCTGGCAGATTCTCGTGCTGGCTTTGATGAAGCAAGCTGTGATGCTGTCATAGTCCAGGTGGCAGGGAACTGAGGCTCTCGGTCCAACAGCTAGTGAGGGACTGAATCCTGCTGTTCTGGTCCGAATGTCTGTCCCCCCACCCACCCCAATTCATACGTTGAGCTCCTAATCCCCACTGTGATGGTGTTGGCAGGCGGGGCCTTGGGGAGGTGATTAGGTCTCATGAATGGGATTACTGCCCTTAGAAAACACATCCCAGAGAGCTCCCTCACCCCTCCACCACGGGGAGGCATGTAATCCCAAAGGGATAGCAGGAAGATGGCCATTGATGAAACAGGAAGCAGACTAACCAAACACCAAATCTGTGGACACCTTGATCTTGGACTTGCAGCCTCCAGAAATAAATTACTGTTGTTTATAAGCCACCCAGTCTGTGGTATTCTGTTTTAGCAGCACGAACACACGAAGACCAATTACTGAAAGAGCTTGAAGACCGATCCTACCCTGGTTGATTACAACCCGTGGGAGATGGTGCAGCAGAGGGCCCAGCTAGGCTTTGCCAACTCCTGCCCACAGAAACCGTGAGACAACAAGCCTGTGTTGTTTTAAGCCACTGTTTTGGGATAATTTGTTACACAGCAGTAGATAACTAGTACACTCAGCGAGTGATGGAATTTCCTAGCCTTAGCTATGGAAGAAAAGACAGCCACCTCTCACCCAGGCTGTGATGTGTCACTAGTCTTATGTGTTAGAAAGACTTTGGCCAAGGGAGAGACATTAGTCCTGCTAACAAGCCACACCATCGTGCTACTGGGCCGTCAAGGGGACACAAGTAAGGAATAGCAATATTTTGGGGGGCATCCCCCAGACACCAGCCCCCTTCCCAGTCAGATGGTCCCAGACCACCTTTTGAAGACACCTCTGTACCCTTCTGTTGGTATTTCTTCATATGCCTACTGTCCTTATTTAGTCTATGAGCTTGTCAAGGGCAAGGATTATTTTCTAGAATATCAACCGGCACGTATTATTTATGCTTAATAAATATTGGATGCTTATGGATTACGGTGGCTTCCTAGGTAGGAAGGTCAGCTCACCCAAATGAATGGGGCGGGTTAAAAATAGATGACCATCAGGAAGAGCGATGTGATGGGAACCAAGAATACGAACACCTAAAATAGCCGCTTCGTCTTTTCGGTCATTCTGGCCGCTCTGGAAGCCACAGGATGTTGCAAGGGACAGATGGATGCCAGGGATAATGGATGTGTTTCCTTGCGGCCTTTAATGCCGGTAAGACATCCTTTTCTCTAAGACCTTCTGGATTTCCGTGGGACCTCCCCGTCACTACGTGTGGACGGCACTGACAAGCAGGGAGGGAGACTGACCTTGCTCAGTGCATGTAAAGTCCACACGTGAGTTAACCTACAGGGAGGGAGGGTACACAGACCCACGGGGAAGGAGGTAGAGGTCAGCATGGGAATGAAGTCTCGCTTCATAACGCCAAAATAATACATTCATAAATCATGTCAAATATATTTATGGTAGGATTAGACAGCTCACGTAAGTATCTAACGTGTGTGTGTGTGTAAAATGCAGTCTACGTACGTGTGCATATATAATATGCAATATATCTTGATATATTTTTTCCACGAAAGCAATTTTCTGTTTGGTTTTCTATCAAGGATACCTTGACATTATTCAGTGAGGTTAGGAACACCTTTGAAAGAATTCAGTATACCATTCTTGGCTTTGTGTTGTCTTTGAACTCTCCGTTGAGAGAATGGGGTCATTATTACATGCTTGGCTTTCAGGTGTTTACCTTCCTTTTCCTCCCCTAAAATGCCGACTGCATTTTCTGCTTTTCTTCAGATTGTCACTAGAGGGCAGCATATGTCCGTGTGTAAATATCAGAGCAGGCGGGCACCTCAATTTACAGATAAAAGAATTAGGGGGCAAATTTTGCCTCCCTGGGCTTTAGGAGCACACAGAAAATTTAAATATCCACTGGATATCTTTATTTCACTAGTAATAATATCTAAATTAAGGATCTAAAGACCGATACACAGGCAGACTTACTATTAGAAGTAGTAAGCTTAAATTAAGAATTCTAGAATCTTCAAATCATCCTTTTAAACATGTGAATACCAAGCATCTTGCGTTTAAACAGAACAAACCAACCTCCCATTTCTCACTTCCTCTCCTGTCTTACTTATTTTGTCTTGACTACATTTCTGTAAAGTCAAGGATAAACAAATATTTGTGCCAGTTTTGCAGAAATAAATAGAACTGCCAAAAATATTCGGGTAGGAATAATTAACAATATCTGTTGTCATCTACTGAGGCTGGACCCTCTCTATATACTCTTTCTCCCCTCAGCATCACTACCCTGTAATAGGGCCATCATAACTCAGCTCATTTTAGGGCAAAGAGATGAATGAAATCTGGCTAAAGGACTTGCCTAAGGCCACGCGGAGGAAAGTGGCCTCTGGGATCAGACACAGCACCATCTGCCCTCATGCCGAAGGTCCGAATCGGAGGCTCGAGGCCACATCCTCTACGCTTCGCTTGTTCTTCATCCTGCCGCTGAACTCCTAGCCTGCAATGCCTTGGCTCCTTGACCTTAGCATTCGTTACATATATATGTGTGTGCGAGTTTGTATTATATATGTAAATATATCATATATATATATTGAAGACACAAATCTTTAAAGAAGTTAGACTCCAGATGTCACGTGACACAGGCCGTCTTTGTCCCTGGTGCCTGTTCTTGGGGCAGAGGACATCAGGGCCCAGGGTCTTAGTCCCGAGGTGGGAGGAGGGAGGAGTTACTCAGAAGGAATTCTCAGAGAAGGCAAGTTCCAAGAAAGAAGTTTCTAGAGAGAGGAGGAGGACAGCCCGAAGGGGAGGAAAGCGGAAGATGCCAGGAAGGACAGCAGCTGAGCTCAGACTGACCACAGCAGTAACAGCCGAGGCCCAGGGGCTCGGAGGGAGCCGGTGTGGAGCTGCTGGACAATGAAATGGGCTTGTTAGCACTGGCGCCTGCCTCCTCTCGGAACTAACCCCTTTGGGGAGGGGTGAGGAGGACGGTGAAGGCCTCAGGGGCTCCCACCTGCAGCTTCCAGATGGACACTGCATAGAAGAGATGGTCCTGCCCAAACAAGCCACCACCCGCTTCTAGATCGACCAGGCCCCGGGGGAGAGGGTGCTGCACAGGGTCCTCCCCATCTGCCTGCAGAGACACCCAGCTCCTGAAGCCTCAGGAGGAGAACTGGGGAAGAGCTTGTTGCCAACGAACAGCACCCAGACCAGGCCTGGGTGGGAGGGAAGCCCTTCTCTGCAATATAAAGTCTGGAAGCGATCTCACGACACAACAGCAATTAGTCCGTTCATTAGACTCTAGTGAGTCTGTCATTCCTGGACAACGGATTTCCACAAGCCTCTGTGCAAAACAGTTCTTATCCTCTTATTTGCTTCTCGTTAGTGAATCCTGGCATCTTCCCCTGGGCTACTGTTCTGGTTCAGAAGGGATGTTTTTAATAAGAGCCTTGTAGAAAAAGGTTCGTTTGGTATTAAGAGAAATGAAGCGCATGTAACCATTGTATGTTAATCATACTTCAGTGAGGAAAAGAAAAAGCTCACAGACCCCAAGCCGCTCAGCCTCGTTTATCTGCGAAGTCGGGGGAGGGGAGGAGGGTCAATTTCTGTCCCTGGGACTCTGCGGGAACTGTCCCTGGGTGTGTCTGCAAAAAAGAGCTAGGCCGCTGAAGGGGAGGGGTGCAGGAGTGACACCAGGACCCCTTCCCTCCTGGCCAGAGACCCCCTTTGGACTCGATTTCCTTTCATCCCTCTGTGAGTACAAAAACAGCACCAAAGGTCAAATATTTTTTCTAGTGTGTCATCGTGGCAAGCTGAATCGAAGAACGTATTTGTTGAATTTCTATCCCCAAATCATCTTGGCAGGTCTGCATCAAAGAGGTGGAGGAGAGGGTATTTCCTTCCATTTAGCTTGTTAAGCAAAATCTAACAATGACTAATGAGGTCCACCAACCAGCAGAGTTAAGGGGTGGCCGCCCCCAGAGAAAGGTCCACAATCACACGAATCTGCGGGGAGACTAGCTGGAAAGCCAGACGTCCAACCTTGACTTCTGCTCTAATGAAAGAACCCTCTTTGCTGGATTCTTTGGTCAAGGAAGGCAATTTTAACTAGGTAAAGAAAAGACACAGAGGGAGATGCTATCTGCTTGAGGCATTTAGCAACCTCAAGCATGAAAGAAGCTTCAGGCTGTTCTCTTCGCTTCAGCTTAGAAGAGGGTCGGCACAGGATGAATTACGTGGCATTTAATTGCTTTTTTTTCTTACATACACAATTCCTTGGCATTTTATTCCACGGGCATGAAGTAGCCTTCAGACTTGGCGTGCACTGTAAAAATCTGGGAGAATGAAGCAAAATGAGGTCATGTGAAATTTCTCTTGTCAGCATGACTCCTGGAAATGTGGGAAGAAAGTCCATGAACCTACCTGCCTTCGCCCAGAGTCCTTCACAGCACCCGAGGGGCTAAAATAATGAGTCTGCACGAGTCCCGCCTTGACCTGTACTGGGCTGTCTTGTTTGCCCGCGTGGGAAATCAGGGTGCATGGGTGTCATCATGCTGACTTCTGGGTTTTCTTTCACAACTGAATAATTGCCTAATTTATTCACAATTTATATTTTCAAAAAATATGTGTGTTAGCAATGCTAATGATCTTCCCATGCCAGGTTCGGTATGATGTCAATCACGACGAGCCCTTCTGTAAGTCACAAACAGTAATTACTGGGAAAATGACATGAGTACGTAGTTAAGTGATGCCCTTTTAAATGAAGGCAAACCCTTTTATTACGCCGTAATCTTAGTAACATCAAAGGGTGGGTAGCAGCCAGGTACCACTATCTGGGACCAGCACCAAGAAAGGATCAGACCTTACTCCGTGAACTAAGACAAAAGTAGTTAAGCCCAAGCTAACACCCCCTTTCAGGTGGAACCGTGCAGTGCTTCCTGCACCCCAAAAAGTTCCCTGCTCCCTGCTCCTCTGGCTTCTTGCCTGGACGGAGCCCAGGGTCACGTTCCCAGCTGACTCCCAGTTGCCTCAGAGTCAGGGCAAAGCTCCCCAGCTGAAGGCCTGACGTGCCCGACGCGCAAGCTGCGCCCTGGTCTGGAGGCCAGGGCGGGACACAGCTGATGCTGGTTCCTCCCACAGGAGCCTGGCTCCACAGCCAGGCCTCTCCTGAGTCCTAGGGAGAAGGTGTGGTGTGGGGCCCCTGCCGTGACCTACCTGATTACCGTGGGGGTGATCTCTGCACAGAAGAACACACTGAGGCTTCCCACCGCGTGGGAGGCAAACATGCCCACGATGGAAAATGTGATGGAGAATTTGTCCTTGACACTATCACTCATACCTGAAGGAGAATCAGGGGGAGATAGTGAGAGGGGCGGGCAGAAGGGAAGGGAAAAGGAGGCTGGCGAGGCGGGTGGGAGGGTGCAGAGACAGCAGCAGGACAAGGGACAGGGGAGGGTCCAGGACCACACAAAGGGTCTTCCCCCTTCCCCTTTCCCCAGTTCGGGGTGCAGCCTGGGGCACTCAGTTCCCTCTGGAGACCGAGGAGCACCTCTAGGTGTAACAGGTCAGACCCTCTTGGCAGAAGGCTTTGCTGGGGTTCCCGTGATTGCCTGCAGGCCTGGGATGCTGGGGCTCACATGCACTCAGCCGGGATTCGGGAGGCCACAAGCCGTGCCTGGCAGGAGGGGAGGCTGGTGGTCTCCCCGGGGCTGTAGCAACGTCCCTTCTATCCCAGCCTTCGGAGGAACAAGGCCTCCGAGAGGAGGAACAGAGGAACAGAGAGCCCCGGCTATTCTGGCCTCGGGTTTGACCCGTCCAATACCCAGGACAGGCTACGCTAGGTTGGACCGAAGGGAACAAAAACTCCAGTAACCCAAACAGAAGAATTTATGGCCTGGTGGGACAGTGCTCAACCCACCCGGGCACCTTGCAAACGGTGCCAGGGTCTGACCACACACCCGGGCCGCGTCTAGCACAGAGCAGTGGCATGCGGCTGAAATCACACATCTGGGGCACAGCCCAGTTCCCGGCAAGGCCATATCCTGAACGCAGGGGGTCTCACAGCTGGCAGTCTCGGCAGCACGGGCGTGGGGCAGGCCAGGCACGTGCGACCAGCAGCTCCGCCGTCCCCGCGGCCAAGGGCAGCGAGCGGCTGTGACGGACAAAGGGGGACAGCAGCTTCCCCTGGCGGCACAGTGAGCTGGGCGTCCGGCGCCCCCTGGGGCTTTCTCATGTCACCCAGGGGCCGTCCGTGAGACCAGCCGCAGCGGGACCCCGGGCTGGCTGCCGAGGCCGCGGGGACAGGCGAGGCCATGGGTGCGAGCTGGGCACAGACGGGGAAATGAGGGGCTCTTTCTAGAGGCGGGAGGGAGTAGAGAATACAAATGTATGCTCATAGTGTCCAACCTACGGCCAACTTCAGCTGCAACTCTTGAAGGGTAAGGCGAGAGCGGGAGAGAGACAGGGAGGGGAAACCACAGGTCTGTGAGTCTCGATGAAAAGGCCCTTTCGGGTGCAATAAAAAGTGGTCAAGCGCACCGCACGGACATTAGGGCTCACCTGAGTCTGGATGCTGGCTGTATTTCCCAATCACTGCGCCCCCAGGAATGACGGCCCCACGCGGACGGGGAGGAAGACAGTGGGTCAAGGGGAGGGGAGAGAGAAAGCCCGTTAGGTAGGAAGCCACTACTGTGCTTTTCCACGTGACTGGCTTCTCAGTGAGCTCCCTTCCAGCCCAGGTTGGCCCCACTGCACCCCCCACCCCCGCCAGGCCCCCTGGGGAGCAGGGTCAACACCTGCAGGGAGCCAAGTGCTAGAAGGATGCAGAGACCTGTGGGCGAGAGAGTCCCCGGACACGGGATTAGCGCCCGACTGAACAAAGCTCCTTTTGTTTGGAGGGGAGGGCGAAAACCCCCCCGGCCTCCAAATGTGGGGGAAAACGGAACTCTTCAGAACAGAGACGCCAGCAGCTCTTCTAGACCTCAAGCCGAAGGGTCAATTTCATGGTGAGCCGCTGCTGGTCCGTGCTCCAGGGAGCGGAAGGACCGCGGGGCAGACCCGCCGGGCTGCAATTCCGGCGGCTCTGGGCCTGATGCTCACGGCTTCTCGTGTGCATCTAGGTCCCGGGCCTTTCCTGCTCAGGGACAAAGAGGACACCGGTGACACTCCCAGGGCTGCCCCTCCCTGCACCCAAAGCTCGGGAGCTTGCACAGGGCTCCCAGGCAGGGTAGCGTGGGCGGCCCCCACCAGGGGGACAGACACCACTTCTCCGTTTTCCTTATTTGTCACAGCTGAAAATAAGACCCGTCTCCCAGCAAGAGGCAGAATGCACGGGAACGTGACCAGATTAGGAAAATGGCTCCCGAGTTTGAAAGGAGCTGTTCTTTAATCCAGTTTGCACGACGAGGTTGAGCAAGTTTTGAGGTTTCTCCTTTTTCTTCTGTTCTGGACATTGACTCTCACACCTTGGAGGACGAGAAGGCCTTCTGTCTTCTCAGCAGCTCTGATCTGTGCTGCACCTGGACAGTCCTAGAGTCGAATCCCCAGCCCTCAGGTGGGCTCTCCTTGCGCAGGAGGGGAGCCGTCCGCGGCATCTGTTTCCCGCCGGGTCCGAGCCTGCCCCGGGAGCACGGTGCCTGGTGAGAGAAGGCTCAGCTGCCCGGCTCTGGCGTGTCTCGTTCCGGGCGGGTCAGAGGGATGCCCGGTGCTATTTCCCTGCACGAGGAGCTGTGTCAAGCATGCGGCGTACAGCTGCGGGAGCTGCAAGGATTCCCTAGTTCTTCTGTGGATTATTTTTAACATTCACTGAGGCATTCTTTGGCCCAACGACAAGCTGATAAACTTGGGAACAGTTGCTGAAAAGCAGTGTCCCGACACAAGGGTGTCAAAATGTCCCCCTGATTTCCCATGAAAGAGCGCTTTGTTCTTCTCGTCACGTGACGTATGACACACAGTCTGGCCCTCCGTGAAGTCATGCCCACCAGGGCTCGGCGGGCCTCACGTGCTGGGGATGATGGTGTAGCCAGGAAGGCTCCCAGTTACAGCCCCAGGGCCGGGGTGGTGGTGGGGGGGGGTCGCACAGTGCACTCCGTCAATGGCAGTCACCATGGACATTCCAGTTCAAACCGGTCCCTCCCAAGGCACTTTCCTCAAGCTGCTGATTTTGGAATAATAGCCCAGGTCACAGAAAACTTTCCTCAAGTCTCACCCAGCTCTGTCCAATACCCTTTGGTCATAGGCCAGCTCCCCCACCCCAGGCTCTGCCCACGAGAGGAATGTTTATCCTTCCTCCTCCCCTGAGCTGGCCTGTCTCAGAAAAAGCCAGTGTCCTCTCTCCCTAGTGT